CTCTTCATTGCTTAGTTCTACTTTTGGAGCTTTGACCTGTTCTTTTATTAGGGCCATATTTATTTTTATTTTTTTTGTCCCAGTGCACCCAGTACATAGCAAGGGGCAGGGCCTTAGGTATTCTCTAGGTCAGGGAAACCCACTTAGCTGTGTTGTAGCGCTGTATGTGGGCGAGGAGTCTGAGAGGAAACACTGCTGTTTGCTTGGCTCTTGGCTGGCTTTTAGTCACTTCCTCCATTGCCCACAAGCAGGTTGGGCCTTTCTGGTGCTAATTCCTGGGTGAGTGGATTTGTGTACATTCTAGGATCCTGTGGGTCTCTCCAGTGAACTCTCCTGTGAGGCTAGGAGTTTCTCCCGCTGCCTCAACCCCCACAGATTTTTTTCAGGCAGAGGTTTTGAGGCTTTATTTCCCTGCACTGGAACCCTGGGTTGTGCGGTCTGTCCCGCTCCCCAGTTGTTCCTCCTGGTTTATCTGCATACAAATGTGGGACCTCCCAGTCTGCCAGCTGCTGCCTTGCCTCAAAGTCTCTCTACCCAGCTGCCCATCTCCACCCGTCCTACTAGTTTGGATGAATGTTTCTTAACTCCTTGGTGTTCAGACTTCCACACAGTTTGATTTTCTGGCAGTTCTGGTTATTTTTTGTTTTTAAATTTGTTGTTGTCCTTTTGGTTGTGCAAGGAGGCAATGTGTATGTACCTCTGCCTCCATCTTAGCTGGAAGTTCCAGTTTTGTTTTGTTTTTAAATTGATTTCAAAAACAGATAGAAAAGAAATAGGAAAATTACTCAAAGTCCAACCTACTTAATGCTCACTGGTTCTCAATTTATATGTTCCTTCCTATGATGTGTTTCTATGACTATGTGGTTTGATGCACCTGTGATCAACCACAATATAATTTTTCATTTGGCCACAATATAATTTTTCATGATTGTAACATACCAATCATGAGTTTTTAAAAATAAATTATCATATTAGGTGGTACTTGCTTTTATTTTCACTTCTTGCAATCAGACAACCAGCCTTACTAGGAATAGTATTGATCTAGTATCAGGATGAGAAGGAGACAGAAAAAGTAAGGGTGCCAGCTGAGCCAGTCTCTATGCCATTGGCCCCAGACTTTCTACCACTCTGTTGTCATTCTTGCCATAGTATACAAGGGGAGACTAAAAAAAATGCAAAAGTATCTTCTGGAGGGGGAGTCCCTTGTTGTACTGGCCTCTCCCTGCTAGGTGAGTCTTTTAGGAACCCATCTGTGTCAGTGGTGGTGTTGTGAGAGGCTGCATTTGACTTTAGTGATTTTTTTTAAGACTCTTTCAGCGCACTTGCCCATTTCATGATGGGTGATTTACAAGTGCACCTGCCCACACTGCACTGAGTGTTCAGCAGTTTACAACAGGACACAGCATGACCCCTATGCCCCACCCTCTGTATTCATCCAATCTCACCCTGAGCGACTTTTTTCCCCCCTGATGAAAAAAGACCTCAGAGGGAAACGATTTGCTGATGTGGAAGAGGTGAAATAAAAAAATGGCAGAAGCACTAAAAGGCATAAAAATTGATGAGTTCAGAAACTTTTGAGCAGTGGAAAAAGCATCTCAATAGATGTATTGCATCAAATGGAGAGTATTTTTTTTCTTTTTCTTTTTTCTTTTTACTGACCCTGAAAAGCCTAAAATTTACCATCTGGGCCTTTACAGAGAAAGTTTGCCAACACCTGTGCCAGACCACTAGTGTTCCAGGATGAAACTCAGAGCTCTAGAATGGAACTCTCATACTTGTGTCTTCTAGAACCTCAGTATTCTGGATATTCTGTATTGTGGCTCTTTAAAATGTGACAATACTAGAACTTTATCATGACAGAAACTCAGAATTATTAAACTGTAGAACATTCAGATCTTTGGATTTCAGAGCTTGCAACTCTAGAAAATAGCATTTCTGTTTCTTGGAACGTGCAAATCTAGAACACCAGAACCTCAGAACCTGAGAATTCAAGATGTCTAGAAAGTAGGTACTCGATTAACTCACCGATTATCTAGTTTGGTGGTAACAAAATGGTAGGCTGTCAGCCAAGTCTGGTTCACGCACACCTTCAATGCATGGAGCTCTGGAAAAATGAAACTAGAATCTGAGGGTCCACTGGCAGGTTTGCCGTTGGTTGGCTGCCGCCCCTCCCCCACAGGTGCAAACACTCCCTATTGTTTCACGCCTGCACTCACTCTGCATGGCACAGCTGGAAAGGGGTGAACTGGAGCTCCAAGTTCAGGCAGCTCTCTGCAGGAAATGGAGAGTATTTTGAAGGTGATGAATAAGTACCCAATTTTTATAGTTAAATTCTGTTTTGGGGAGTCCCCCTTGTATTGTGCTAGGTAGCATGCCCAGTTTAGGGGTGACAGGATATATTGTTCAATAGTGAGGCTGTTGAACCCACAGTACTTGAAAGAAACTAAGGGTAGAAATACTGATTGATTACATCACAAGCTGTAGCAGTGCCACCACTTGACTCCTACCCAGCAGTGCCTGCAACACACAGGCACAAAACTGGGGAGCAGCCGAGCACCACCCCTACCTAACTTGGTCTGGTGATGAATTTTAACAACTCTGTAAACCTCATCTCTGCTAGTTGCAATTTCTGAAGTTTTGTGTACAGAGATGGGAAGAACCTTTTAGGCAATCAAAAACAATTATACTGAGGACTCTAAGTGATGATGAAATAGCAAGAACAGAAAAAGGAACAGATGTATTGATAGTAAAAAATACAACTGTATTATGTGTTTTATAATCCACAACTAGGTGTATTTAATAAATGAAATTTTGTTTGTTGTAAAAAAAAATTCCTAGGGGTTTAAATAAGGCTTAAATAACACCTAAGTGGAGAACAAACTAAGATTCTGGCAGCGAAAGGAAGGGGTTAAACTGTAGATAGAAATGATGACTGAGTTGATCTACTCATATTTTAGCTCTTTTCATCTTCAAAGCCATCAAATAATTGAAAAGGAGCCTTAATTTTGGTAGCATTATTAGGAATGGCAAATACCTGTGTGATAATTGGTCCTGGGCTCTCAGCATTGCCTGGTCTGGCTATATACAGTTATGGGGAAACTTTGATTACTTCCAGTTTTCATTACAGGCCTGGCCAAGATTACTTCACCATACAGAACTGGTGTGACTAAAACATTTTATTAGTTAGTGATTTTAATCTTCATTTAACAAGAATAATTAAATAAATCCTTTTTCATTGCATATCTAGTATGATACACATAAAGCATCTGGGCACCTGAAAGCATTCAGTGTGTTTTGTGGTACTCTTACCTTCTCAGTAATTTAACTTGACAAGTTACTATAAAACCATAGTTCTCCTGTATATTAATATGACAGTTTCACCTTTATTATGTCGACATTTTAAAAGCACTGAACTGTCAGAGACTGAGCAACAGATGCTGATATCACATCAGATTCCAAGATGCTTGGATAAGCAGTTGCTTCTGACTGCGCAGCAGTGTGGGTGGCGGGCTTAGAGCTGCTATGCAGTGGTGGACTCTTCTTCTGCCTTGGTAGCCTGGAGCTGCTGCTAGTCTGTGGCTGCAGCCCCTGCCCCAGCTTTTCCTGAACTGCAGAGGCCTAGGGTCAGTGACCTCCCACCCAAGGAGCATACCTGTGTAGTTTGTAGCAGCCTTGATTCATGAAATGGTCTTTGAGTGTGTAAAACAGGCCCTGGTTTCCATTAACATTTGAACCCCTCTGGTGGGTTTTATTTCTAGCTCACACAAGAGTGATGTCTGGGTTTTCATCCCTACAATTGTTTTCAACATTGTCTGTGATAATAGACAAAAGTATAAGATATGGTATAGATTAAAGTTTTGAAATTATTATAGTATAGTGCTATAGATGAAAATAAAAGATAATTCCTCCCTGGCGCTCAGTGATTGAGCTCCGGCCTGCCAACCAAAGGGTCTCTAGTTCAATTCCCAGTCAGGGCATGTGCCTGGGTTATGGGCCAGGTCCCCAGTGGGGGGCACACAAGAGGCAACTGCACATTGATGTTTCTGTCCTTTTCTTTTTCCTTTCCTTCCCCTCTCTCTAAAAAAATAAATAAATAAATAAAATATTTTTAAAAGATAATTTCTTACATTTCCCATTATAAGTATTCTGAATTCCATCTCATTTCCATATTATATAAATCCCTTTAACATTTAAAGCTGTACCATAGATAATATATAATATGCCCTTATCCCATTTGTTCTTGTTTATCTATGGATACACATGAGGACACTGCTTCCACATATGTGAAAAACAGTAGGCCATTGGATCAGATCAGTCTCTCCAGAGGATTATTCTGATTCCTTAATTAGATTCGTGCTCAGTCAAAATATGTTAATGATGATTTTTTAAGTGTTTTTCAGAAATTCATAGGATATCGGATTTTCTCAAAAGCCTGTTGTTTAGTTGTCAAGATTATCAGTTCAGATGTTTTAAGTTGTAGGTGACAGAAAACCCAGTTCAAGGTGAGTTCTAGGAAAGGAAGGGTCTTTATTGGGTTGTATCATTGGAAGGCCAGCAATAGGCCAAGACTGAAGGTGGATTGATTTAGCAAATCCACAATGCTAGTAAGAATTGGGTTTTCTTCTTTCTGTTCTCTGCTTCTCACCTTCTTGTGATGACCAGGTGGTTGCCAGCCATTCTCAGACATAAATGTTTTCTCACCATGTCTGGTCATCTTTTAGAAGCTCACCCAGAACACCTTTCCTGGTGTTTCATTGACCTAAGTTGAGGAACCACCAACTGTGGCTCAGATGGAATTATGCTAAGTGATTCAGGCTAGAAATCGGGGCTGCAGGAGGAGGTAGAGAAACCTCAGTTAGAACCAGGTAGTTATCTAGAGCAGGGGAAATAAATGAAGGGCTACAGCCTTGCTGGTTGCCATGTGATGCTAGTTGAAGTCCTTTGGGTTCCATTTATGAAAGTGCTTGCTTTGTTTCATTGGCTTCTACTTATGTCTTTAGGGGCTGTGACAACCAAACGGACGGGTATTCCAGCTCCTCGAGAACTTTCGGGAACTATCTCAAGAGAGAGAACTGTGCCACGTGTTCCCTCCAACACAAAGAAATCGGTGTCCAGTCTATCTTCTTCCAGCACGCCCACCCCCACTAAGCCCCTGAGGAACACTTCCATAAGACTCAGACAAGAGAGTGAAGGTGGAGAACGGGCCGTGCTTGAGTCCCAAGTTCGGGAACTCTTGGCAGAGGCCAAAGCAAAAGACAGTGAAATCAACCAGCTTCGAAGTGAATTAAAGAAATACAAGGAGAAAAGGACTCTGAACAACGAAGAAACTGACTCTTTGGATCCAAGGGTAGATGGAACATCAGTCTTACCAAGTGACACAGAACCTTTGATAAGAGCTCTTGAGGAGAAGAACAAGACCTTTCAGAAAGAGCTTGCTGATCTAGAGGAAGAAAACCGGGTCCTGAAGCAGAAACTGAGTTACCTTGAGCAGTCTCCAAATTCAGAAGGAGAAGCAAGTCACGCTGGTGATGGCAGCTGTCCAACCTCCATAACCCAGGATTCGAGCTTTGGAAGCCCAACTGGAAATCAGGTGTCAGGTGAAATCGATGAGTATAAAAAAACCATACCCCAAGATGTATTACGGACGTCAGGTTCTTCAAGTAGTGACGTTACCAAAGCTTCCTTGTCACCAGATGCCTCCGATTTTGAGCACATCACAGCAGACACCCCCTCGAGGCCCCTGTCTTCCCCGAGCAACCCCTTTAGAAGTTCAAAGTGTTCTACCACTGGGAGTTCCCCTAACAATGTGAGCGAACTGTCCCTGGCTTCCCTCACGGAGAAGATACAGAAGATGGAAGAAAATCACCATAGCACAGCAGAAGAACTACAGGCTACTTTACAAGAATTATCGGATCAGCAACAAATGGTGCAGGAATTGACAGCAGAAAATGAGAAACTGGTGGACGAGAAGACAATTTTGGAAACTTCCTTTCATCAGCATCGAGAGAGGGCAGAACAGCTAAGTCAAGAGAACGAGAAGCTGATAAATCTCTTACAAGAACGAGTCAAGAATGAAGAGCCCAGTGCTCAGGAAGGAAAACTCCTGGAACTCGAGCAGAAGTGCTCAGAGATTCTTGAACAGGGTCACTTTGAAAGAGAGAAGCTGCTCAACATTCAGCAGCAGCTGACCTGCAGCTTACGGAAGGCTGAAGAGGAAAACCAAGGAGCTTTAGAAACGATTCAACACCTTAAGGAAGAAAATGAGAAACTGAATGGGTTTCTAGAACTGGAACGGCATAATAGCAGTGTGGTGGCCAAAACTCTGGAAGAGTGTAAAGTTACCTTGGAAGGGCTGAAGATTGAAAATGGGTCTTTGAAGTCTTATCTGGAGAATGAGAAGCAAAAAGCCATAGAGACCAGTCCTGTGGGGCAGATGGTAGAGGGCTGTGCAATTCAAGAAATGTTGAAAGTAGCTCGAGCTGAGAAAGATCAGCTGGAACTGTCTTGTACTGAGCTCAGACAAGAATTACTAAAGGCACATGGTGAAATTAAACATGTGTCAAGCCTGTTAGCCAAGGTAAGGAGATACCTCTTTATCAGTATTTGCTCATCCTTGTTAACATTTCCCTCCTTTTTGATCTTTAAATTCACAGAGCACAGAGAATCTTTCACTTAGTCAATTTTATTCATGAACCCAGCATTCTAGCTTGAAGATTTGTTAGATTCCAGACAGATTGGAGACACAAAAATGAAACACCCCCATTTTCTGACTACAGGCAATTTAAAGTGTAGTGGGGATCTAGTGAATCAAATCAGGGAATGCAAGACAGGGACAACAGATGTCATGGAGGAGAGAATAGTGCACCTAGGAGGAACACCTCAAGTACGTGGGATAAAGGAGGGTAGTGCAGGAGGACTTCCTGAAAGAAGTGACAGTAAAGTGAGTCTTGAAGAATGAGTGAGAGTTAATTCAGATCTATCAGTTAGCATGCTTTGTGCTGCTGGTAACAGGAAATTAAAATCACCCCAAAGTTCCCCACCAAGGAACAATATAACCACTATTTTGGTGTTTTCTTTTATATATATATATATATATATTTGTGATTCCCATAAATTAAAAAAAAATTAGACTCATTCTAAGAATTCATTTCTGAGAATATTCTCATTATTATTCTTCAGAACATGATTTTAAAGACCAGATAGGTGCCTATTGTTGAATGTTTGTGTTCTTTTCCAGTCTTTTGGTATTGTAAATACATTTTTATATTGCTCATTATTTCCTTAGGGAAAATTCCTAGACATTGACTTGTTGTATCAGAGTATGACCTTTTTAAAGACTTTGGATACATTTAGCCACATCACCCTACAGAAATATTATCCCACTTTGTTCCCGCCAGCAGATCATGACAGTGCTTGTTGCCCTGAACCCTTGCCAACAGCTGACGTTAAGTTGTTGGATCATTCAAACCCAGTCTGCATGCCCTCTTTTTTTCCTCACCTTTTTTGCTTGAAAAGATCTTCCCCCAACCCAAGATCAAGTGAAATGATCACTTCTTTCATTTTATTTTATTTTATTTTATTTTATTTTATTTTATTTTATTTTTAAAGGAAAGCTGAGGGTTCTTTTTTTAAGATTTCTTTATTTATTTTTTAGAGAGGGAAGGGAGGGAGAAAGAGGGAAAGAGAAACATGAATGTGTGGTTGCTGGGGGTCGTGGCCTGCAACCCTGGCATGTGCCCTGGCTGGAAACCGAACCTGTGATACTTTGGTTCGCAGCCCGCGCTCAATCCACCGAGCTATGCCAGCCAGGGCCCATTTTATTTTATTTTTTAAAATATTTATTTATTTTTAAATAAAGACAGAGGGGAATGGAGGGAGAAATAGAGGGAAAGAAACATCAGTGTGTGGTTGCCTCTTGCATGCTCCCCACTGGGGACCTGGCCGGCAACCCAGGCATGTGCCCTGATCTAGGGTTCCTTGTGATTTAGGGTTCCTTGGTGAGTTAGAGTGAAAACATCCCCCAAGCTATTTCAGGGTTTGAGACTGTTTCAAGGAACAAATTATGTCTTGAACTTCCAGGGGGATTTTTCTCTACTGCTTCCTCATCTTAAGATTAGTTAGCTGCAACCTGACTCTGACATTGGGCTGTCTAATGATCTGAGTAGCTGGGTAGTGTTGGGAGTTTTATCATTGTCAGTGTCTGCAACTCACAGCATTTTATGGAAAGTTCGGAAGCAGTTCCATTAAAGGTACTAGCCAAATGCCCATTTGAACTACTGTTGGTAATTGTAGCTTCACATTAAGTTGTAACATCTGTGGAATAAGTCTCCCTTCCATTATTCTGTTGCAAAATGTTGAATCTCCCAGGTGGCCTTTTTGAAGTCCTCCTTCAGTCCTTCATCTATTTTTTGGTATTTAGATTGGTTTTACATAAAATATATGTGTCAATGAGAAATAATTTGGCATCTTAAAACAATGGCTGATTCTTTTTGATCATGAAATTACATGTTAATTACAGAAGGTTTCAGAAATACAGAAAAGTATAAAGATGAAAATATTACCTTTAATCTAACCACTTAGAGGAAAATTCTGCTAATATTTAGTTGTATGTCTTTTCAGGCATTTGCCCAGGCATTTGGGCATGCATACACACTGGTATCGATGTACAATATTTAATCTTCCTATTCAGAAGTGGAGTATGTCACTCCATGTTTTATGAATACAAAGCCCAGTTGGAGTAGCTTATTAATTCCATTGTGCATCTGTTTCTGATTAATTTGTTTCTAATTTATCTTTATCAATTCTTTCATCCTGCTTTTTGTACATTTCCTTGGTTTCTTCTGGTTTCTTGAGTAAAATTCTTTGTGTACTTAAGTTTGTCCTTTCTCAGTTAATAACAAAAGCATTTAAATGTATGAGTTTGCTCTTTATTACAGCTTTGGCTAAAGTAAGATAATAAAATCTAGAATTTGGGGGGATAAACTAAGTCAAATTTGGAGAAAAAGGAAAAGCCTTTGCATTCTCTGTACAAGGTACAACATGTTTTAAATCAAGTTGTTAATTATAGTATGCATACATTCCATATCTTCATGTATTGCTTGCTGATTAGGATGATCACGTGTGAGACAATAAAGCAGACAAGTCTCTGGTCAGTGTTTTCAGAGTCTGAGGTCAAAGGTGTGCGGTGTGATGTCATGAAGTTTCTATTGCACATATCAAGGTCCTAGGCCTGCGCTCTGTGCTGTCTTGTGAGTACAGGAACATTACTCTGTAACTGCAATGAAGTTGTAACTTGTACTAATCTTTCCTTTTCTATTACCACAGAAAAAGTAAAACCCAGACTTCCTAGGCAGACTAACAGCTTATTTTAGCCCCACTGCAGCAACCACATCAACTAATCCATCAGCAACCATGAATTCAAATATAAGGCACAAGAGACTCATGTCCAAAGGAAACAGGAACACTTGTAGCACAAAACTGTAATGAAGGATATAAAGTGCTGGGCCAAGAGGTACAAAGCCTGGGTCCACCTGACTTGGCTCATGGTTTATTCCATGGCCGTGGGCAGGCCCCTGTCCATTGTACAGTGTTGAATACAAGTGTAATGGTGGAGGGATCCTTATTTAGAGTGTGTTCACCTTTTTGTGGGCATCTGCTGTATACCATTTATTGAGGTATTGCAAGTGTTAGCTAAGAAGGTCCTTACTACTTACTGCTTTTTTTTTAAATGATGGAGACTGAATTTTTCTACGTCTACTATAGATCTTACGTATTTGTAAGATCTATACTGTAGATGGGAGTGTCAAACTCATTTTCACTGGGAGCCACATCAGCCTCGTGGTTGCCTTCAAAGGACCAAAATAATTTTAGGACTGTATAAATGTAACTACTCCTTAACTCTTAAGGAGTTGAAATTACATTTGGCCCTTTGAAGGCAACTGCAAGGCTGATGTGGCCCCCAGTGAAAATGAGTTGAACACCCTGCTGTAGATCTTGGACATAAACTATAATGTTATAGTTTTATGTAGTCAAAATGTTCTTTCTCCTTTAATTTGTTAATGAGGTGTGAATTACAATAACAGGTTTTCTAATGTAATGTACTATTAAGTCATCTTTGCATTCCTGGTGTCGATCTGATTCAGTTCTCAATTGCTTTACTTGACATGTTTGCATAAAACTTTCAGATACAACCACCTTAAGCAGATATCAGTGATTGTCCTGTTAATCACCAAAGCAAATCACGCGGTGATGAACAACTTTCACCCTTCAGTTCTGCATTTACCCACTCTAATTCTTGGCTGGAGGTGAATATTAACAAACCATCCCATAGTCTAATAGATTTAGTTCTTCTATTTCAGTTTAGTAAGTTACTTTAATGACTCATGTTGTTAGAAGAACCTCTGAAAAACTTTAAAATGTACTTTATTTATTTATTTTTTGGTTATGGGTGGATCTGATCCTCATACAAAACCTGTAGGACATTTACAATAATTGTGGGAATGTTTTGTAGCTTTTTCTTCCTCTCATTGCTTTGTCCGCATCTCTTTGCTAACATCTCCATGCTTTTCAGCCTCTCTCATACCCTCCATGTACATTTGGCTGGCAGCTGAATGTATGACTATATAACACACCTTTGTACAACTTTGAGGAAAGGTCTAGTTCCACAGCATCCTGTGGTCGAAACCTCCTGTAAGCCACACCCGCACCTGCCCTAGCCAGCAAGCAGCCTGTGGCTGCATGGGATTATTGTTTTCCAGGTTATAATGCAACTCAGGTTTATATTTTTTGACTTTCAATTTTTAGTGATTTGGGATCTTGATTTCAAGTTAGAGAATTTTTATAAGACTTGAATCCTAAAAGAAATACTGATTGTCCCCCAACCCTGAGACTGAAAGCTTGTAGGTGGTATAGCCTTAGAAATGTAGTTCTTTCATCAGAGACTCAGACGTTTCTTCCATAGTAGTAAGGAGCTTATAAAGAAATACTTGGTGTGAGTGACCAGGGAAAACTGGAGGTAAAATGATCACTGTGTGACCCATGTTGGTCACCAGGCCAAACTAGGGTAGCCCCTGGCCGCAAATGACAAAACCAGAATTTGAGAGAAGGATGTGGTAAGTAGATGAGCTTGTCACCATGACTGCAGAACAGGACTCCTGGAAGGATGAGATCTTGGAACCTGGCTTAAATAACAGGTAGCCCATGAGGATTCCCAGGCAATGCTTTGGACGGTAAGAAACAGGAGCCCCCTCATGTCGGTGGCATAAGCAAACAGATGGACTCTTTGCCCTCATAACCAAAATTCTAGGAGGTAGGCAGGTGGTAGCTATGACCCGGGAGCTGTGTAATGTCAAGACTCTAGGCTGGCAGCTCTGTGATTCTCTCAGCCTTCCTGCCAGGGTTCAGGGAGCATGGCTTCAGCATCTGGTCCTACAGTCCAGGCAGCAGGAGACTTGGCAGGTCCATAGACACCTCAGTGAACATTTTTCCCCAGTAGCCCTCTCAGCAACTCCCTTTATATGATATGGTCAGAACTGGGTTGCACACCCTCCCCCAGCCCTCTCCTTGAAATCACAGTCA